GGATTTTTAGTTGGATCTCAACTCTAGATTTTCATAAACTCATCTGGAATTCTCACTTCTCTCTATGCCAGCCAAGACCCTCAGTTTTTCCATTCATTTAGAGTGTATCTGGGCAGGGGATTTAGCTCAGTGGTTCTGCAACCTGCCTCGGAAATGCAAGGTCCCGAGTTTGATCCCCAGTTGCCAAAAACAAACATTTAGCATGTATCTGTTGCATTTCCATTACGCACAAGGCATTGATTGAGTGGATAGGGATATATTTGATGTATCCCCCCCTCAGATTGAACTGAGGGCCTTTGCCCTGAGCTACACCTTCAGCAATCTGTCTGTCTGTCTGTCTATCTTTAACTTTGATATACGTTCTTGCTAAGTTGCCCAGGCTGGACTTGAACTTGTGATTCTTGTGCCTCAACTTCACAAGTGCTCGGATTACAAGCATGTATTACCACATGTGGCTATTCAGTGTCTTTTGATCTATTGTATTCATTGTCCATGGCTCCAGTTCCATTTTTGGCCAGGGAGAGTTATGTTGATTAATGACATTAGTGATGTCTGACAGATTCTTCGCTCAGAGCTCTGATAGATACTCTAGCTCATCTTGTACATTTCATGCTCTGGACTTGGAATCATCCATTTCTCCAATATGTTGCAGTTGTTTTTAATGGAAAATGATGTTTGAAGATCATGTTGTGGTTACTAAGAATGTTCTTTTTTTATTGGATAAACCAGAGCATTCTGTAATAAAACCACAGTGGTTAAAATTTGAGCATGCAGCAGTGTGATACTTAGCATAACCTCTAGTGTGGTTTCTCTGTTTATTCACTAAATATTATCTACCATATACGAGGTACTGTCTTGTACTGGAAATATAACAATGAAGGTTACAAACAAAATTCATGGGAGCTAAGAGTTTTTATTGTAACTGGTATTGATTACCTTGATCAATATCTTACCTTTTGAGACTTTCCTCATTTATTAGTTTACAAAATTGTGCGAAGTGGTCTATAGTGTCTTCAGATGAAAAATTTAATCATCTTGTTTTTTTGCTTGTATACTAATTGTGGTACCCTTCTCTCTCTTTTCCTTATCTTTTTACAGAGATGACAGAAGAAGAACAGTTTGCTTTGGCTCTCAAAATGAGTGAGCAGGAAGCTAAGGATATGAACACGCAAGAAGAGGAAGAAGAAGAGCTCTTGAGGAAAGCCATTGCTGAAAGCCTGAATGTAAATATGTTATGTTGAAACAAATTGTGAGTTTTATAAGCAATGTTCTTTGATTTCTACAGTGTTAGGTTTGCATTAGGAACTAGTTACGGTAGTTTACAGTTTTAACTAACATAATTACCATAACATTTTAAAGTCTGTATTGAATTGTTGGCTAACCTAGTTTGAAGTGTTTTGTTAACATATGATAGAATTTTCTTCAACCCCACAGATATTTTCAGTACATATCTTACAAGAACCATAGTAAGTTGATTGCTTCTGAAAAGAGTTATAGACTACCAAGAATATTGAAGGAAGCAAGACAACTTGTTTTGTGGTGAGAGCAAAGGAAAGGAAAGAAAGAATGGGCAGCTTCTAAAAAAATAATGTTTAATTTTGATTTAAATATATGTAATTGAAATTATTTTAAATGTTAAGGATACTTGTTAGTGCAGGTTCTGAACCATCCTTGATTCTTTCTTTGTTTTTGAAATGGAGTCTTGGCAGTGTTGCCCACGTTGCAGTCAATTTTGTGGTTTTAAGCAGTCTAGTCTGAGCCATCTTTTGTGCTGTTCATCTCTATATTAGAAAAGGATGTAGTGTACTGATCTGGTACAGCATTTTGCACACAGGCATTCAATATACATTGTGGAATTTATTTGAATTGAATATCTTCACTTTTGAGAGGAGAAACTCCTAGGGACAGTGGCCTCCTGTTTTTGTTCTTCCTGTGACTCTTCGCATTTAGCTATTTTAATAATAAATCTGGTCTGGTATGGGTTCACTTGTTTCAGAGTTGCCGGTCTTCTGATGCTTCTGCTACCAGAACTCGTCCTCTGGCCATTGGACCATCTTCACATTCCCACCAAGAGAAAACCACAGACTCTGGGACCACTGAAGGCATGTCTCCCTGTTCTGACTGCTTCCATTCATCAAGCATAATCATATTATAGCAGTCTCATACTGAGAGTAGATAAACAGAAATACCCCAAATCCCTTTGGTGATATTAAAGAGGTTCAAACAAAAAGTAGTTGAGATCTCACAATATCCAACATACTTTTATTTCCAAGGAAAAACCAACCTTTGGTTAAACCCAAAGAAGAGCCTTTCTTAGGCACGTTTTGTAATTCTTGGTAAGTGATAGCTTACCAACCCCTTTTAATAAAAAAGTTTGTCCTTAGCCCTACTTTTTCTCAAATGTCTACAGGCATATGGCAGCTGGTACCTCCATCACTGTTTAAAGGCTCACATATCAGTCAGGGAAACGAGGCTGAGGAAAGAGAGGATCCTTGGGACCACACTGAAAACACTGAAGAGGAGCCGGTCTCTGGCAGCTCAGGAAGCTGGGACCAGTCAAACCAGCCAGTGTCTGAGAATGAGAACGTTAAATGTTTTGGCAGATGTACTGGTCACTTGGCTGAGCACACACAGTGTGGGAAGCCACAGGAAAGTACTGGGAGGGGTTGTGCTGTTCTCCAGGCTGCCCAGGGTAGGGGGGACACATCTAGGCGCACTCTGCCTATCCCAGCAGATGTGAAAGGTCTCCAGGACATTGGAGACACTGTGCACTACTTCTGGGGTATTCCATTCTGCCCTGCTGGAGTAGACCCTAACCAGTATACCAAAGTCATTCTCTGTCAGTTGGAGGTTTATCAAAAGAGCCTAAAAATGGCTCAGAGGCAGCTCTTTAAAAAAAAGGGATTTGGGGAACCAGTGTTACCTAGCCCTCCTTCTCTGATCCAGAATGAATGTGCCCAAGGAGATCAGGCTAGCGAAAAAAATGAAGGCATCTCAGAAGATATGGGAGATGAAGACAAAGAGGAGAGGCAGGAATCTAGGGCATCTGTCTGGCACTCAAAAACCAAGGATATTCAAGAAAACCAAATTAAAAGCTTGAAACAGAAACTTTTGTTGGAGGAAGAACCAACAACCAGTCATGGTCAGGTAAGGGTCAGTGATGCTGTAATTAAGGATGATTTATTCACAGATTAAACAAGGATTATTTTAGCTAATTGTTCTTTTTGTGGTCTCCCCTCCTCATTACTAAAGTAATACATGCTCACTGTAAGAAATTAGGGATGTACAGAAGAGTATAAAGAAGAAAATACCTATAATACCAGCATCTAGAGGCAGTAACTTATTTCTATGCAAATAAAAATACACTTTTAAAAAATTTTTCAACGAAACAAAGATTTATGTAAAACTGTGCCTTTCCCTCTCTTTTTACTTTATCCTAGGACTTTTTCTATTTGTAAGTGTACTTGAAATATTATTCTGTCATATGGATACACCATAATTTATTTATTTGTTTGTTTTATTTTTTGGTACTGGGTAGAGCCACTGAACTAAATCCCCAGCCCTTTATTTTTTGTTCTTTAAAATGTTTTTTCTAAAAAGTTAAGTTTTTGAATAGGTAAGAGTGTTTGTATGACTCAGTATTCAAGATGTGAATTTTAAAAATCTCTACCCTATTCTGTGGACTCAAACTGTTACTAGTTTCTAGGATACTTTTTGTTTTTTTGCGGAACCGAAATTGAACTCAGGATGTTGTACTTGCCAGGCAGGCATGGCGCCACTGAGCTATATCCCTGGCCCTGTAGGCTATTCTTACATATTTTATATACTACAAGCAATATATATATATATATATATATATATATATATTTATATGTTTATCCATATTTTGTTACTCTAATGATAGTCTAACCACATTATTCTGTCCTTGCCTTTTTCATTTAATATCTCTGAGATCATTCTACAATAATACATAGTTTCTTAAACTCTTTTGGATATGGAGTATAGGATGTATGGATGAATCATATTTTATCGAGTGGCCAATTGGTGAGCATTTAGATTATTTCTAATGTTTTTCTATTATGAACAGAATAGCAATGATTACTCTTGAACAGAGAACATTTAATTCACAAGATACATTGCATTCACAGGTATTTGTAGGGTAATTTCATATAAATATAGTTGATTGGTCAAAGGATATCTACATTTACAATTTTGTTTGCCTCCCTGGAGGCTGTATACATTTATATTCCCATTAGCATTATTTGAATATTAGCTTCCTCACAACCATACCAGCACAGTATTATCACACTTTTTGATTTTTGCCAATCTAAGAGATGAAAAATTATATCTCAATGTAGTCTTAATTTGTATTTCTGTTTGTGAGGTTAAATTTTTTCTGCATGTCTAAACCCATTTACTCATTTATGTTTCCTTTTCTGTTTAGATATTCTGTTCACCCTCCTCCCCCTTTAAGCAAGCTTCATATATTTAGGGGAAGTGGTCCTTTGTGACACGAAGTACGGGAGTTTCCCAGTTTAAACCCTTCCTCCCTCCCTCCCAGTAATGGTGTATTTATGGTTTTGCTTGTTTTAGTTTTCTCTAGTTTACTGACTAGTCACCATTTTGGGACTTTGCTTTTCAGTCTTTTTCTGACATAATCAGATTGTATTTTTTTTTCTCTGAATATTATAAAAGCAAGTTTGACAGCAGTGGTTTCAAGGTATCCTTGAAGTGGTGAAAATCTAGCAGTTGCTCTTATTATGTTGGAGTTTTCTAACTTAATGAACAGGCCACAAATACTACAAATAGTATTATTAGTTGACATTAGTCACTACACAAGCTAAGCCAAGCTAGTGTAATTAAAAAGAAGACTTTCAGGCATGGTGGTATACACCTGTTATTTCAGCACTTGGGAGGCTGAGGCAGGAGGATTGCTTCAAGATCAAGGCCAGCCTGGGCTACATAATGAGTTTAAGTCCAGTCTAAATTACAGAGTGGTGGGGGAGAAGACTTCATAATAAAGAAACCAGTATTTCATAAATTCTAAGACAAAAGGGTAACCCTGAAAAAGGTACCAGGTCTAAAAAATCATCTGTAATTTTTGGCATCTTATTGCTGCAATGTATCTGTTTTATTTTTCTCTGTGCATATTGGTTTTTCTTGCTTTGTTCTCATTATAGGTAAAAGATACTGATCCTGTAGCTTCCAAACCTAAATATTACCAGTTACTGGAGATTTGTTCTCTCCCACTTCCAATTTCAAAAAACTTATGCCCCATTTAGTATTAGTAACTCTTACAGCTGGTAATGTCCTGAAGGATATATGTGTCAAATTATACAAATGGCTGTGAAACACCATTGATAATGAATGAGAGAGGTGAGGTACAGCCTTTAGTAAAAAGAGAGCAGGCAGACAACCTAGTAAATGTCCAACATAAGCATTAACTTTAATTTTAGCAATCACTTAGAAATGTTGAAAAATGCTAAAAAGTATAGAGTTAAAATCATCCACAGTTCCAATGTCCCAATGATGTCAAAGATGTGTTCCATCATCTTTTTTCCTTTATTTTTGGTATGGTTTAGATCATATCAGTGTATTACTGGGTTCTTTTCCTGTTTTATTTTTCCCCCAGGGCTGGGGATACATGTTCATATGTGCTGGGCAGATGATCTGCCACTGAGCTATATCCCTAGCCCTCATATTGGCATCTTGCTATATTGTTACTTTAACATTATGTAACATTTTCTTACATTAAAATTATAGATTTCACTTTTAATAACATTCTGGCTTATGACTTACAAGAGTAATACACATGTGTATTTATCTTATATGTATAATGTATATATAATTTTTTTCCAGTCCTTCAGATTGAACCCAGGGCTTTCATACTGAGCTACTTCCCTATCTCTTTTTACATTTTTTAAATCTTGAGATGGGGTCTTGCTAAATTGCTGAATTGCCTATGCTGTGCTTAAACTTGGAATCTTCCTGTATCAGCAATAGTGTTTTTTAAACACTTCCCTATTGCTGGTTATTTTTGTTGTGCTAAACACCTCTATACATGAAATTTCTTTATTCAAAGTCAGTGTCTTTATGAACAGGGAGTCACAAAAAGGTAAGCATTATAAGTGTTATAGAACTACTATTTATTGCCATATTGTGTTTCACAGTGATTTTTCCAGTTTGCATTCCCTTTCTCTGACAATGTATGAGAATGCATGCTTCACCACAGCCTTGCCAACTGAATTGTGCCTTTATAGAACAAGAGAAATTTAACTTATAAGTAAATGGTAAATACCTTATGATTGTGATTTTGCCTCTCATATTGACTTTTCCTTTCAGGAACTATGGGTAAAAGAATTTATGTGTTTGTTAAACATTTTCTGTGGATTATGGCTTTGCTGAAACTGCCCACATTTGAGATTCTTTCATCGACAGAGATAGCAAGAAAGTTCCAGAAATTGGGACTCAGGAAAAAAAACATTGATGTTGAACCAAATATTTTAGTCTGTAATTATATTATTAAACCTTAGGGATCAGATAATAACTGGTTTCTGGCATGTCTGAGACAAGGAAAGTTAACGGAAGATAGGAGATCACTTTGATGGCATTATGGCAGGGAGGTGTTGATATGGTCCTTTATTTTTCAGTCTGATAATTAATTTTTCAGTCAAAAAGTTAAAACTTGTTTACCAGAAATGACCAGACTGTGGGGAGTTTTGAGAATTGACTTTTACTAGCCAGACTTCAAGCTGATGTATATATACCAAGTAACAGTTTGTAGATTTATGAATGGAATGGAGACATACTCAGTGACCAGAATACACAAATCCACTGGATGCTGTACCTCCTTCTAGGATGACTACACCTGGAAAGCTGAAATAGTAATCAGAAAATGGAGACTTTTGGTAGTAGTATGGAAAGGCCTGATAAACTACCACTGCCCCACAAGGGATACCATTCTGTGATGACCAGCTAATGGAATGCCACTGTGCTAAAGACACTACTCAAGCCTGGAACTTTAGATTTTCTTAAATTCAATGTTAACTATCCCTTTACCCTGAACATATTTCTTCAGGCTGAATGCAATGTCTTGATTAGGCTACCACTTCCTTTAAGTTTTATTGCTGTGATAAGTTTTCCTGTTGACTTAATAGATTTAGGTAGTCTAGTCAAATTTTGTTTGCATGTTTTACCATCTTGTTTCATATTCTGGAAGACCTTCACTTTACCGCTAAAAATAAAGATTATTACCCTGAAGTGTAAATTTTGAAAATTAAATAGTTTACTAAAATGAAGACATTCTTGGGATTCCTTAATGAAATGTTTGGGAAGATGATCATTTATGAAGACAACAGTAGTGGTTAGAGCATGGATTTGGAAATCAGATAGATCTCAGCTTCACTTTTGATCATTTATGTGATTTGGGGCAAATTACTTATTCTCTTGAAGTTTCATTTTCCTTATTTCTAAAAAATAGGTTTTTGGGGGTCGGGGATATAGCTCAGTGGTTCCCTGCCTGCCTAGCAAGCACAAGGTCCTGAGTTTGATCCCCACTACCAAAAAAAAATTTTTTGGCCTTTTAAGGTTCTTATGAAATCAAAGGAGTTAATGCATGTAAAATTATTTGCATAGGCCTGACACTTAATAGGTGTGCAATAATTATTAAACAACTATAGAAAGTTGGAGATATACTTAGCCTAATGTAGTAACTTAGCCTAATGTAATAACTTTTGAAGTTTAAGTCAACAAAATTCTACTAAATGAACACTAGGTGTCAGTGTTTACTTTTTTTCAGAATCACTGCAGAGTTCTGAGCCCTGTGAAGTATTTATTGCTGTTGTATTTTAGTTCTTTCAGTTTTGCTCAACTCTCATTTTTCCTGATGACTACATAACTGATCATTGCACAACTTTACCTACCTTTTGACAGAAGACTCAGTTCAGTATCCCCCACCTGTTAAGTATTTACCTCATTATTTACCTGAGTGGTAGAAAAATGACTGCTTGTTTAGATTTCTTTTGTACCCTGTTGAGAAATCCTGAAAACTTTGGCCAATAGCATTACATTTATTGTAAGATGCTTCACAGCCAAGGCACTTTCTCAGAAGTCCATTTTTAAGGTATCAGTAGCTGCTTTTTTGTGTCTGCCTTTCTCTGCACCTACATTTAATGAGTTGACAAACTCTACCCTGATCAACGGAAATAATCTTTTTCTTATGCAGTCCTTATTGTTGCATTTCTTTCTTCTAATTTGAGACAGGGTTTCAATATGAAGTTAAGACTGGCCTTAAACTCATTGTGTAGCACAGGCTAGCTTAGAAATCATGGCAATCCTCCTGCCTCAGCCTTCTGAGTGCTGGCATTACAGATGTGTGCCACTGTACCCAGCTATCTTTGTATTTCTTAAAGGTATCAATGTGGCAGATTTGTAGCACAAAGAATCTTTATAATTTTCCCTTTGGGATGTCCTGTGTTATGTCTTGGATGTTCTCAAAGAGATTTCTTTCATGGACTGAAATGTTTTTCCTAGTGCTGTGTTTCTGTTGAAAACTGGCCTTCTCTCTACATTTTCTCCGTATACAAAAAGTTTTATAAATTACTTTTTGGAAATCATAATTCATTTGACTTACCAATTAATATTGATGTAGGTCTTGTAGTTTAATAAGTGCATTGCATACATTATTCTTAATTCTCAGTTATATTCTGTGAGGTACTTTGTTAATTCTTATGTTAAGATGAAGAGATTCAGATATGACTTTGACAAAATTACGAAGTTAATAGGTGATTTAGATCTATTTAAATACCAAACTCTGACTCCGCAGGGCACACTTCTTTGTTTTTTGTTCCAGGGATTGAACTCAGGACTTTGCGCTTGGGGCACACTGTTTTTACTGAAACTTAGAGACTCATGTAAAATGTTTATTCTCATTCTAATTGCTGAGAAATTACATTTGAACAATTAGTTTTTTTTTAAAGGAAGAGAAGCTAGTTCATCTGTACCTGTATATTTAAGATGTTACATATTTCTTTGCAGTCTTCCCAAGGGCTGTTTGTTGAAGAAACTTCTGAAGAAGGCAGCTCTGCACCTGGTTCACAAAGGTGAGATTATATGTTGCCTTGGGTGTCAGTTCTCTTTTAGTAACATAAAGAAGACGAGCCACATGGAGGAGACCATGCCCAGACAACTTGCCAGAGAACTTTTAGCTCTTTTAAAAGCACAGATTAGGAGAAATTAAAATTTCCAAGTTCTCAAATATGCATGTTATAGAAACCTACAATATTGAGGCCTAAATTGATTAGAGATTTTCTTGTCTTTTCTAGTCATCTTGGCATAAATCTGATATACTTTATTCCTTGAGAAGTGATTGTTTCTGGCTGTTCTCTTAATTACAGTAGTTTCCTGTGCCAATCTGCTGTCTCTGGACTGATTTTTAAATGATCGTATACTTCCTATACGTTTTCTCCCTTTGTTCTCTTGCTTATGCTTGCTTTATGTGCATTTCCAAGCCTTATAAACTTACAAGTCTACTTCCAAGACTAAAACTTCTTGAAGCCTTCTATTATTCAGACCACGCAGATTTGTGCCATTCTCAGTCTTTGTCCTGTGCCATTTTTAACCTGTTTGTACGTCATCTTTCCCGTAAATGAGTATACTTGTATTACATCCTCCATTATTCTTGCTGATTTGTTGATGGGGTTACCTTCTCAGTCTTCTTACTGTAATAATAGATAGTAGTTGATTTTAAACTGCACAAAGGTATTCAATCACTTTGTCTAATAGTTTTGGGGATTTCAAAAGAGCTTAATATTGTTTTGGGCGACTGTCATCTCCCATATGGAAGCTGAGGCTCAGTTGCCATTTGCTATAATTTAAATGATGCTCTTTTTTAGGCTTTTGGTAGATAATACTAGATATTTCTTCTGGGCTGAAAAATATGCGTTTGATTTGATTCTCTTGGTGATATAGTTTAGAAGAGTTTCTGGGGTGTCCCCCCTTTTTTGTACCGGCGATCAAACTCAGGGTCTTGCGCTTGCCAGGCAGATGTAGCACCACTGAGCTAGTTCCTCAGCCCCTAGGCCTTCTCCCCACTGTAGACCTCTCTGTTTTATTGTGGTGAGGCTGTGCAAAGCAGATGTAGGTTTTAATAAATGATTATATGCTTTGTCACCAGGAGAGAGCTGAAATCACAGGCAATGTGGTTTGACTTCAGATTGATTAGCTCATTTTATAAATGTCAGCAAATTGTTTTGTGATGGACCCTTTGAATAGAGTCCTAATGTTATATGCAGAATAAACTGTGTCTGGCTTAGGTTTATAACAAATGCTATGAGATGTTTTATTTAGAGAGAGAAATCACTTGTGGCTTCCTGTGAGGATTTAGTTATTTATCATGAGTCAGTGTGGCTATTCTCTCTTCTCTGTGGTTCTTTGTTGATATGAAGATTGGTATTTTTTAAGTGTCTTCTTACGTATTTGATCAAACTAATCATAAAGCTTATAAAGCATTGAGAGGGCTAGTTCACATACTCAGAACTCTTAGTCATGTGTTCCTGTGTCAGGAAGAGATTGCATTCCATGAATAGGAAGGGAAAATCAGGAGATTGGGTGAAGGAAGCCATTCATAATTAAGTTTTCCTCTGAAGACCTCTTCAACTTGTATGGACAAATTTTTGCTGTAGGACAGTTTGCAATGGTTTTTTATTTTTGTTGCCTGCAAAGTTACATCCTAAGATAAAGAGGAAATTTAACTGCAGGGTGAGAGAAAAGCTAGTGTCAGGAATGTCTCCATGTCTTCTGAGTTTATACATCTCTGGGCTTCAGAGGGCTGAGATGGAGGTGATAAAACACCTTTGACTTTTTTTTTTTTTTTTTTTTTTTTTTTTT